GAAACGTGAAACCCACGTTGACAAAAATGCCCTGGCCACCGTCACCGCTGTCGTGGACACCAGGGGTACCACCTCGGGCCACCTGGTCGTGCGGTCCACCACAGTGCCACTTTATTTTGGTAATGCTATAGGTGGTGCAGAAGGTGTCAGGTAGAGATGAGAAACGAAGGAGTCGAGAATGTGTTTGTTGTTGTTGTTTCTGCAGTGAAATAAGAGCGGGCCTTTGGGGCTTTGCTCAGTGATGCTGCTTGTGGTTGATAAATAGAGATTCTTTATATAAATCGAGGTTTTCCCAAAATACCCTGATTATACTGAAAACCAAAACAAGACATAAATCAACATTATTTTAGGATTTGGTGCAGGAATTTGTGGCAGCAGTGACTTTGCACTTACTGCTACTTTGTCTACAAACACACTGAAGCCATCTCAGAGAGAGTAATTCATGTATTCTACTTTGGTTGATATTCCTGATAGAATAAGGCAAAAATTCTGACCACAAAAGTATCAATATTCTAATAATTCAGAGATTCAATGCTAATTCTACTTCTGTATTTTCCCTCCTCTCCAATGAAGAGTTTGTGCTTCCGTATCCAGAAGATGATGGAGGTGTATAAGCCAGACTGGTGTGAAACCAGAGAGGAGTGGTCAGTCTACATGTTCTCCCCTCAGAATAAGTGAGTGCAACACAGATTTAAGTGCAAATTCAAATCTAATGACAAGGTTGTTTGCATGTGCTGCCAAACCAGTGTCGGTCACGCAGATCGAACGCTGTCCTGATGATGTGGTTTTTTTTTCAGTTTTTTATATTTAAACTGAGAAAAGAAATCTCCCCAAATGAACTTCTTTAAATGACTGTAGAATTCAAAACATTCTGTATGTGGGCTTTGAAATGTACAACAAATGCAACCTTTTAGCGAGAGACATACAAAGAGACAAGCATGTCTCTTAATGTGCTAATACTTGTAATTGTTTGCTCTGGCAAAGTGGTTTTACCAAGGCTCTATGGAGACAAAGAGGGTGTGGGGAAAAAGGCTCATCAAGCAAGACCAATGGCCCTGAAAAATAAACGTCTGCGAATGTTTTCAGCTCTATCTGGATAATGTGGAAGAACAACAAGATGCATAGCCAGAGTGTTGTTTCCACAGAGAAAACTCCTGGTTTCTGGTTTCACAAATAGCTTGTTAAAGTGATGTCGCCGTGTTATTCTCCTCCTAAAGCATTTCTTTTTTCTGAAGACAGAGCGGTAGTCTGGGCTGTGTTTTCCGTCAGAATTCAATTCATCGCCGGTAGAAACTTCCCTGAAAGCAACATGAAAGAAAAATCACTCAGTCTTCCACTCGCTCACTCACTCGATTCCCTGCGTGCTGATAGCCACTTAAGGGAAGCCGGGCCCCAGGGCTGTGTTTTGGCATCCTGGCAGGTGCCATCTGTCAAGCAAAGGCTACGTGTGTATGTGTGTGAGGATGGCGTCAGACCGTATCGCCGGTAAAGTCTTGTTGCTTGGTTGTACATGTGTTTGGATGACTTTGCATATGTCCGTGTGGGAGCGTGTAAGCGTGTGTATGTGTGTGAGTGCATATGTGTTGTCAAGATCATTTGTGTTCGCTCTAACAAGCAATAGAGGCAAACATACTGAAGGAGAAAGAAACCAACATTAAAAGTTGTGTCTCAGGTAGGGTAAGTGCTTACGCCAACGCAGCCGCTGGTGATGATCAATA